TCTCCTCTGGAAGAAGTTTTGAAAGCAGGTTCTCTTTCATCCCGTTGAAATGAGACCGGAAGAGGAAAACAGTGGCAGAGAAAAATGCACTGAAAAACATTTCCAGTAAGGCCCTGCTCGTTCTACATCAACCCCTCCCCATTCTAGAATGTTAACTATGAATCCTGGTCACCAAAAGGTTGCACATCCTCTGTCTAGCTGGGATTTGTAAGGACTGCTCTTCCTTCCATGGGATACACAGACCTCCCTGATGCAATGGCTTTTCTGTAGGAATAACTCTGTCCCCAATTTGTTTTTGTCTTGTAACGTGAAACTCCCAGCCTGGGGCTGTCCACCTGTTCAGTTGTTGTCTCGAGAAGGATGCAAATGAGTTTCTACCCCAAAGCTAGCATTTAGCTTTGAATTATAGCTATATTTTTTTCCTCCACCCTGCCTTTTCCCCTATTAGTTGGTCTCTAGGAATGGAGAGATTCCACTACTGGCGGAGGGGTGGGAGGAGGAGCAGGAAATAGTGAAAATTGCTGAGGTCTGAAACTGGCTGGAAAGCTACGTTTTTCCCTTCATCCCCTTCTGCTGGACTCCAGAACGTGATGTGTTTGTGTGTCTGTGTGTGTGATGGGGTCATTCATTTCCTTTTCTTTCCTTTTGTGGGACTAAAAACAAGGGGGGCAGAAAGAATTAGGAAGAGAGCCAACTGTGGTTTTTTTTTTTTTAATGCTTTTTGGGGTTCTCTGTGAATTGAAAATGAAACAGGGCTGCTTCATGGCCCCGCACCCCGTCCCCAATCTTTTAAAGGGTTCTGTTGATACTGGAAACAAATTCATCCCTGATGCAGGAATGAACAAAGGGTGGGGAGTTCTTTGGGTAAATTGGGAGACGCATGCAATAATTGCTGCTGGTTTATAATTTTTAATGGGGTGGGAGGAGGAGGATATTCAAATTGATTTTAATTCCTGTCCCCTGTTCCCCACTGTTCTTTGGAGTGTGGCTTCCAGCGTGCCACGAAAATGCCATGTGCACTTCTCCACGTGACCTTGCCTCTCCCCTCTGGTGGGGAGAACGCTAATGTCAGATGAGTATGATAAATTGCCACATCGTTTAAAGCACTACTTACTTCCTTTCTCTTTTAAGGAGACAGGCTTGAAATCAAAATAACGGACAGTAAGGAATGCAAGGAACAAATAAATTAGTTCAATTAATTTTTGCTGTTTTTTTGGTTTTCATTACTTTTCTTTTTATTTCTTTTTACTTTGTTGCTTGTTTTTTTAAACCACGTTTTTAAAAAATCGTGAAAGTTTTGCAAGTCAAGCGTGAGAACGTCTGCATTTCCGAGAGCTCTTCCGTCAGGCAAGCTGGCTAAAATCCTTAGAGGAATTGGGGGAAAGTAGGGATATGGGGAAAAATATCCTTTAAAAAAAAGGGAGGAGAAGGTTTTTAAACTCTTTGTCTGATGAAGAGTTCTTGGAAACGTGCGTACCTTTTGGGGAACTTTTGAGGGCTGGTTAATAGAGAATGAGCTTTTCCTCCGTTTTGCTTTGATGTTGACCCAAATCTGTAGCCACCAGTCATTTAGACACATTTTTTTTCATATCTTGCTTCTTTCTACCAGATCAGCTGATTGCATTATAGTGCTTCAGCATCTATTTAAGGAGTGTATTAATTTTCACATGACTCTTTTTTTTGAGAGAGAGAGAAAGGGGGTGGTGATTATTTTTCCCCTTCAGTTGGTAACCTCCCCTCTTTTACAGAACCTGCTAGCCAAGTTCTGAGACTGGCAGGAACGTGTGTTGAAAGTTTGGAGGCCTACCTGTGAAAAGGACAGGGAAGAAGGCTGGCTGCAGTTTCTAGCTTGGTTTGCATAAATCTTGGGGTGGGGTCCTCCTTTTGGCTGAGCAAGTGAGTTGCATCTGACTTCCTGCCACTTCCCTTCTTTCTTGCCTCATTGCCCTTCACAGAAGAAACCGGGGAGGAAGGAAGGATAAATCCCTAATCATGCGGACCTGTAAGGAGACCCTGTCAAAAAGAAGTGGTGTTGATCGAATCGGATGCATTCAGGCTTGCTTTTATGAAGACTAGCAGCAGAAAATGAGAAGGCTGAGCTGCAGGTGATGCCATAAATATCTAGGCAAGACATGAAAGAGCCCCAACTCAGTCTAGCCACTCTCTGCCTCTGAAGAACCGAGCTGCAGCTCGCAAAAGCGTCTGCCTTTTAATAACATTTGTTAGCTGGAAAAGGTATCACCGGACTCCTCCTGATATTTTGTACCACAGACTAACAAGATCCTTCTCCTATGATAAAAAAAATCCTAAGTAATAGTAGATACTTTCCAGTGTATTATTTGCAGTATCCAAACAACAGTTAAATCCATTTAAATATCTGTCTGTCTGTCGGTGTATCAGAAGACAAACAGAAGTTTTTAGATTAGAAAGCGTCACTGACCAATCTCTGTCATTTTAAGCAAACAAAGCCCGATGCCAAATTTATTGTAATGAATTGGATGGAGATGGTTGGCCTAAGGCGGGCTTGCTGATACATCAACGCATGTTTCTAGTCCATAGTTCTATCATTACCTCTTATAACCCAGCATTGGCTTACTTGGGTGCAGGGGAAGCAAACTCCAAGACCTAGATCTCCATTATACTGGTCAGGGAGCCCCCATTCTGAGATGGCTTTGCCTTCCTAGTAGGGCTACAATGGGGCAATCTGGGCACCCATTCTCCTTCACGGCCTTCGACAGCTGCATTGCCCTAGCAGCCCTGGAGGTTGATGGTGACATTTCTTGAAGCCATTTATTTATCTATTTGGACGCCCTGCATGCTTTGCAGTTTTGGGTTATGAATACAGCCTTCTCTCTTTCTCATGGCGGGGGTGGTGGTGATGGAATGATGACTAACCAGCAAGGAACTGGAATCCCTGTAAGCAGAAGTGACCGCTGGATGTTCAAGATGACTTCATGTCTGCATGCGTGAGGGTGTGTTGCTTGCTTGCATTCAGGGTGGGTGACCCGTGTTTCTGTCACTGTTCTGGACTACAGTTCCCAGCACCTCTCGCCAGTAGCTGAGAGTCACCCTTTTGCAATACCAGGAAAGCTATGAGCTTCTTCAGTGTGATGCTTGGGAACTTAGGTATGCCTTATCATGGAATATTTCCAATATCCTTTTTAAATCAGGGCTGAGCTCTGGGTTTACTGATGCCTCCACACTACCACTTATGGACCAACCATAGGCTTGCTTTCTCATTTGTGAAAGCATTTAAGTAGTCACTCAGAGGAAAGCAGGATGCTGGATCATCAGGGTATGGGACCTGGTCCTCAGGGATTGGGTTGGGTCCTCCTAGAAAACACTGGACTCCCAGTCACTCTCAAGGCATTCTAGAGAAGAGACGTTATTCTGGTCCATGACCATAATAATACAGATATGTATGTATGTGGAAAGAGTCTTCTGATTTCCTCCTGTGCTCTCAAGTTGTTTGATCATTTCTTTCAGATGTCTTTGGGGTTATTGCTGTAGGTGACAGAAGGGGCTTCAATGAGAGTCCTTAATGCTTAGAGAGGACTCCTTTATGTTAACAGCAGGAGGAATCTAGAGGTATCACTCGCATAGGATCCAGTGGCAAACATAGCAACCCATCAAGAAATCATAACTGTAGTGTATTTCCTAAACTAAACTAAGAGGAACACTTCAAGTTCTGACAAGTTACTTAATCCTCCTGAAGACAAAGATCACTGTCAGAAAAGCTTTTTTGTTTTATTGGCCATAATTTGGGAGGAAAAAACCCGAAGTAGCTGATGCTGAAGAAGATATCAGGCTTTTCCTGTTTAAACTAGAAAATAAAAGTTCACATGTGGGATAGCTAGAAACTGCCATTGTGTTAAGTAAATAATGAAGAAGAAGAAGTAACGTTGCAGTTAAAGATATTGTTTTGAACTTCTAAGTGCAATCTTGTCTAATAAAGATTTTAAACAGAGATTTCATGGGAGAGTGGGAAGCCAAGGAGGCCGCAGATGGCTGGAAACTTTGTTTTCTGCTTTCTACCCCTCTGTCATTCTGCAGCCTCCCTGGCTGCTCCTACTTCTAACTGAGAAAGCCCCTTTAAAAACAGTCTTTCTTGATGTCTTCTCTTGAGATCCAGTGGAAGCAGATTTCAAGTGGTGCATTGACCTGAACGGTGTAGAAGAGGGAATGGGCAATGGAGTGTCTAAAATAGGCCATCACTGAATGTTTTGATCCCAAAGTGGGCTCTACCAAATAGCCTAGATATAGTACAACCTGGAAATGGCCCCATTCCGAGATCAAACCATGTCTAGTTGGTCTGTAAGACTCTGTGACTCTAAGACGGATGGTCAATCTAAATTATTCTATCACTTAGCCTCCTTCTACCTTCTTAATAAATTGGAGCTGTGAACAAACCAAAAGCCCAACAAATCTTGGCTGAACAAGCCATGATGCAGGATGATAGGGAATGCAGCCAAGGAGACTATTTTGCATCTTGTGGTTTGAGAACTACCCGAGTCTTCGTTTTACACTTTGGAAATCACTGCTAGTTTCTTTCCCCCACCATCCTGATCCTTGTTTTTGCTACTGTTTTTTCCCCCCTCCTCTATAAAGTATTATGCTCTTAGGTGGTTGCTGGTGACAACACCTGTATTTGCTTAAGTCTGAAATGTTTTCATGCAAATTGCTGTTTGCTTTCATTCCGATATGCAGCAAACCCTTGATTTAACAGGGCTTAAACATTCAGCCTTGGATGACAACCCTCCCTCCTCTGTTAAATTGAGGGTATACTGTATTTGCATTTATTCTTCCCTTCTATTTATTCATTACATTTGTAGCCAGGCTCTTTTCCCCAAGAAAGGGTCAAGGGAGCACTGTATTTCTGTCTTCAGAACCAAGTTATTTGTTCTTTTTTGCCAAATGTTGTAGACTTTTCTCCCCCTTCCTTAAAGTTTGCCTTTGGAATTCTGTCCCTTCTCACATAGGTTTTCCTTTTCCTTTTGCAGGGAAGACAGACAAGATCCTCACTGAGTTTAGCCAGTTCTACCAGGAGCAGTATGGCGTTGCCCTCTTTAACAGTGTCCGCTTTGAGATTGAAGGGGGAACGGGACCCCAGTCCCAACTGTTGCATCGGAAGGTAAGTCAGCAGATGGGATCCGAGGCCTTGAGATGTCAGCAGAGGTCCCTTGGTTGAACCCAACAAGGAGAACAAGCAATAGGATGTCTCTCCTCTCTTTCTGCTCTCCTCTTTCTACATTTCATTACAGTTTGGGCATACTATAGAAAAAATATTTCTTAGCACCCAGCAGTATGATTCCTCCATTGCCTCTTGAGTGTTTCTCAGCCTGGGTTTTGTTCAGTTATCCCAGAATTCTCAGCTATGGCCATACTATCAGCTGTAGGTCCACATATTTGCTGCTAGATCATCAGAACACATGGCCGAAAGAACTCGGGTGGACAGAGAGACATATCCTCGGACCAGCCACACTTTGGGGGACCCTCTAGATTTCAGGGTCCCAGATCTCCCAACTCTGGCCCCGATTAAAGCTTAAGAGAGTCTGTGAGAGTGGCTCTAAACCATCATGTGACTCGCTTGCTTTCATCTTAGTACAGTGTGCAAATCCAGCCACTGTGTAAACCATGGATAATTGTGTGGCAAGCTGTGTGAACCCAGACAGCTTTGGTTTGTTCAACAAACGGTGATAAACATGTTAAAGAACTAGTTCACTCGCATCAAATCATCTATAGTTTGAATCTCAAGTTTCCCAAAAGTTGGGTAACAGGTTTTGTGGATCCAGCCCTTTCCCCAAAATTGGAAATGTTGAAGGGGTTTATTTCCCCCTTCCCAATTGGAAGAAGCCCATCTCACTAACATGATTCATATTGTTACCTGAAAATGAAGCTCCATCTAGTTTGCTTTTGAAGCACTGAATCAGGCAGGTGTGTGTGTTCTTAGTAAGTATTGAGTTGGCAGTTCAGGTAGAAGGTTGGGGGAAAAAATCACTTTGCACCTTACCTTTGCAGGATAAATTCTGGAAATTCCTAGCATAAGCTGTATTTTAAGGATATTTAAAGGGTCACTAGCGAAACATTCCTCTCCTTTAAAATTTCTCACCCCACTTGAAATCCTTCACACTGATGGAGTCGGGCACCCCAAATGGCTTGCATGTAGCAGAATAGTCAACCAACCAGCAAAGTGTCCACTTGGGATTTGAATGGCATTATTCTGCTCCCTTCTCTCCAGGGAGATCTGTTGGACCATCACATGGATGTCTGTCTGGGTCTTCATTCTATCTTGGTTTTGCCCTTGCTCAGATCGAGCAAGAAGCCCAAGCAACTGAGCATTATATACATAGGGCGTGTCCTCAGATTTAATGTTATAGTGCCGGGAGAGCCCCCATGTTCTCACTTGGTGAGAACTCAGGCGAGATGGTGAAGATAATCAAACAAACTTGGGGGACTGCCATGAGCTAGAAGAGGGGGAGGAGAGGGTAACTTGACATGACCTCTAGGTACATATTGGGAAATAGGTTCTTAAGCTGCCCCCCTCCCCCCCAAAATGTAGTTGTTGTTCTTCTCCATGAAGGCTCCTCAGGGAAGTCCTGGGGGAGAAAAGGGAAGGTTTGGATAAGCCCTGATTTTGGTTTTGCAAAAGGGAGTTGATAGTGTCTTTCAGATAATGATCAGAGTCGTTGTCCTTAGGGTCTTCTGAGACATAGGACAGGTCTGTAAGGGTACAGATTGGAGGAACAGGTGCTGCTAGGATGCAGAAGAGAGGGAGGGTGGAAGGGAAAAAGAATGGCTTAACTAGAGTTGCTGATGGCCAAACAACTGCGTTTGCACAACCTGCTGAGTTTGGGTAGCGTTAACCTTTGTTTTAGCATGGTTTAGCATCTTGGACAAACCCAGCCTCTGTGGTCAGGTTATGGTTCAGACTATTGGGGGAATCTAGCAAAAGGGTTAAAGAATTCTGTTTTAGAGGCTGACTATTCGATGGCATTTAAATTAGGTGACATCTTCCAGTTGAGCTCAGTTCCTGCTGACTACCTGGGAACGTCCATGTAGTTTTCTCAGCAGCAAAACAGAAGTGGTTTGCTGAGATGTATTTACCCACAATCTAGTCCACAGCTCTTGGGGTTTCCTAACCATTTCCCATCCCGTTTTTCTCAAGGTCAAGTGAACTAGTTACATGCATTCTGGACTGGTAAGGCTGGGTCCTTCAGAAAGGGCACAGAAGGTTTCTTGTGTGAGCTCGGGCTTGGTTGAAATTAGAGACTGCCAAACCAACTTCATGTTCAGTTGTTTGTATTGTTGGCCAATTCATTCTCCCCCCATCTCCAAAAAAAAACAAAAAACAGAGGCAGTGATTATTCTTTCCAGCTGATCTTCGCTCTTTCCTGCAATGTAAACACGCTAAGTGCTTAATTGCAACTCCGTCTGTCTGCCAAGGACCAGGAGACGCCCAGATGCAGACGGGTGTGCGGTGCTCTGTCTGCACTGAGCTTTTTAATCAGGAAGGATCCAAACTTCTCTAGCCCCACAGCATCCTGAATTGCTGGATGACCGGGCCTTGGGAACAGACAGGCCTCCAGCCCGGTTGCATATATTACATTCGTGATGACAAACAGACATTGCTCCAAAACAGATGTATTAGATGACACACCTGTCACTTTTTCCCCCCTTCCTGAGCAGGAGTACTGTCTTCCAATACAGCGAGATGGATCTCTTTATCACTGACATGCACACACACACACACACACAGAGTACAAGATATACAACCATTGCACGCTTCCTAAAACCTGTGTAGGCTAGACTCTGCAAACTACTG